AAGAGGAAGTTTGGATGTTTTAGTCACGTACTCCTTTGCCCTCTTGCTTTAGCCTCCAGGTTCTGCGAAGGAAAAAACTGCATATATTTATATACACTGGTGGGAAGCCAAGGAGCTGTGTGTTTGCACACTGCGCGTGGTGAGCAGAGCTCGGCGCGAACCGGCTGCAGGGAGGAAGAAGCACAGCTTTCAGGCGTCTAACTGCAGGACAGGGAGTGTGACCCCCTATTTATTTAACTTCGTTTCTAATGAAATTGGGCTGGTCAGAGCTGGCATTGGCAGCGTTTGGGTTCTGCTGCATTTGCTGCTTTTGAATCCGTTCTGGTAGAAGAGGCAAAAACAACCGTTGCAGCTCTCAGTGTCAAAAAGCAGATAAAAAATAATGGCGTAGGAAATGTGATTTAAGAATCAAATCACACACACACACAAAAGTCTGCAAAGCTGCTGTTACAGCAGTTTCTGCACAAGAATACAACAGATAATGCATTTGTTTCTTGTTGCTTTTTTTTTAAAAAAAAAAAAAAACCAGAAACCATCCTTTTGTGCCTGCTCTCCGCGGAACGCCCCGGCGATGACATGGCAAGACTATATATAGGGGCACTGGGGACTGCGGGCATGCCCGGCCGGGGGACCCTGGCATAGGGTAGCCCCGTGCCCTGGGGAGCCCTGACCTGGTCCTGGCTGTGCCTAGTGCCACAGTGCAGGGAAGGAAGGGAGAGGTGCAGTTGGAAACCTTCTCCACACAGCCATTGCTGTCCCTGGATGCCCACCAGTACGAGGCTGCGGATGCCACAGGTTCCACCTGCAGAACCCAGTGCTAGGCCACAGCTCCGAGCTGGGGCAGCAGATGATTGCTGAGATGTTTGCAGGGCCTTTGCTGAGAGGTAGGAACAGAGGTTCTCTGCCTCCCAGCTTTGTAGTGTTTCTGCTGCTTTTGTTCCTATTGGAGATGGCACTTGCTCCAGAGGATTTTCCAGAAAGCTGAGTGTGGTCGGGTTACAGTGGGCTTCTTGCCTACATGTGGATTGTGTGATATTTGTGATATTTGCTGAACAATTCAGAAGCCCCTATAGCACCTGCCAGCTTCTGCTTGTAGACAGCTGCTCATTTTTGCCTGTGAGAGTACTGGTAGCCATCTTAGAAATGCTGAATGTTCCAATTTTCATTTAAAAGTAGGCATAATTTTAGAAGATAAACCCCTGTACACCACACCCATCCTCTTTTTATTGTGTGGTTTTTGAGACATGCCATTCAAACAGCAGTGCAGTAGAGTCCTGCTCTCACATCAGTACTGATCCTAAAGAAATATGTCCATCTAACCATTTTTTATTTAATATGGGAAGAAAGTACTGATGTACGTAATACTGCTGTCAAGAGCAGCCTGTTGACATACACAGGCTTTGAGACAAGCAGACGGTGAGCCACTGACCCTACAAACACTGAAAACCACTTCTAATGTTACCTACAGGACAATTGCTGGACAAGTAGCCATGCTCAGGGTGCACAGCATGCTGCCAACATTTCTCCCTAGCGCTACCGACTGCTGTCCCATGCTGCATGACCCCTGTGACATGGAACTGCTGCTGCTGGCAGAGGGACACTGACAGAACAGCATGTTGTCAGCCTGTGTGTGTGTGTCCTGGGACAAACAGGGAATGTGGACGTGGTTATTTCACTGTCATTTTTGTTGTAAAAGTTTTGGGTGCATGAATACGTCCAAGATCCAACTTGGGCTATTCTCTGATTCTATGATTCCATGAGTAGTGGTGAGAGCAAGAGCCTCAGTGCTCCAGCTTCTGCTGCTTTGGTGGGCTCTACCCCAGGCAATTTGGAGCCAAAATGGTGTGTTTTTTGTTTTTTTTTAAAAAAAAGGAAATGATTCTGTTTTTAACTGAGCAATTGACTTCGCAACCTCATTTCAAGTAGCAGTGGAAAAAAAACAGCAAGGAAAAGATGATGGAAACACTTGAGAAATTCAGAGGTTACTACACTCAGAAGAGAAATAAAAACTTCAGAGGGACACTTCTAGATGCCAGAAGAAAGGGCAATTGATGTGGAAAATCTTCCGCCTGCTCTCTTCAGCCTGGTAAATAGCTACATTGGACGCTCCCACTGACATCGTGTTGGCTGCCCTCTGCTGCGAGCCACAATGGGCAATTGTCTGTGGGGTATGGGGGGACAGACCGACTGGGAGCTGCCTGGGGTGTGTTAGCATGGCCAGGCAACCCTGGCCCAGCACCAACAGGAAGACCAGGAGGCCGTGACCCCATGGGAACACCATGCTGCAGCTCCAGAGGTGAACGTGTTCTTCTGCCCATCGTTGCAGTCATGTTATTTCAGTTTTGTAACATAACAAGAGCTAACAGAAGCATGCTCCCATCTGTGGAAACATAAAGTGCAGTGAAATTAGTTTCTGCATGTCATTGCTGCCTGCTCCCCGAACCCCCCGTTGGGCAGGCAGCATGGGGACAAAGCTGCTGCTCTGTGCTCAGCCCCCAGCCTCACTTTTTTGCTCAGTGCTGTTTCTTAGACTAAGTAAAAACAGGTAAAATAGGGTATTTTTATTGACTTGGACATTCAGTCATATGCACAGTGTACTGCCGTGTAGCAATCCTAAGTAGGAATACTGACAAGTTTAGGCATCAGTGACACACTTGTAAACATCACTAGCAGAGCTGCAAAGATCAGAGTCATCCCTCTTGCATTCACCTGCATCCCTAATGCCCCAACACCCAGCTGAGCTCCAGAAGGAGGTGCCAGCCAGGAAGCACAGCCAAATTCATATGTGATAAAAAGAACTGTAGCAAAATTAATAACCGGTACACCCATTCTGGAACTGACAATTAACCTTGGTCTCCTCCTCTGGATAACAATTATTAAACAGCTCACCAGAGGTTGGGGCTTGCATATCACTTAGTCTCCCAAATGGGGCTGGATGAGGGACCAAGGACTGGTCATCTTTGTAATGGGAGCTGCAGGTGTGTCACACCTCAGTAACACTGTGTGTGCCAGGCTGGCCGCCGCTCTCTGCTGATTCAGAGGTCCTGCTGCCTGCATGTCACCTCGGGAAGTGGCAGCCCAGCATCTCTTGCACGCCTCTGCTTGGCTCATCTCCTTGCAGCGTGGAGCTCCCTGCCATCCCCTCAGGTCCTGTCGCTATCACCAGAGAGCAGAGACCAGCTCTGTCCCTCTGCTCCCCTGCTATATGCAGGCCCTGAGCAGCCATCGGGTGGTGACAGCTGCCAGGTTGCAAGGGCCTGGGGTGGGCTTGAGCTGCAGATCCAGGAGCAAGAGGACAGCTGCCTTCATCATCCATTTGCCCTTTGCCAGTAACTATTATCGTTAAATGCAGTTCTGCACACATTGTAATTAAATGGAAAAAAATATAGACCAAATGAAAAAGGGTACAAGCTTCTCAAAAACATCTCTGTACTAGCTGCAGCTTGACTCAGCCTTCAATTAACATTCTTCCTCAAAATAGTTGTCTTCTCTAGCTTTAGTTAAATCTTACATAATACCAGGCCAAATCACCACCCAAGAGAGGGGCTGTGAAAACGTGTCACTGTGTGCATGATTTTTACTTTGCACATGGGATGCAGGTATGCACCAAAGAGAATGCTCCTAAAACAGCCAGGAGAAGGAGGGCATCTGTAAACCCGATGTTGCTCAGCACCTCCAACCTCAGGGCACTGGGGAGCTCTGTGGGCACGCTGGTGATGGGGCAGCTCTGCTGAGCTGAATGTGCACCAGGCCTGCCTTTAGCCTAAGGCTCAGCTGGTTGTGCCTTCTGAATTTTGTTCTATACCAAGAGTTATGTGTTTTTGATGAATAGGTCAGCAGGGTGTGGAAACATATTCTAAAGCTTTCTGCATCCTTGCACATGCTTTTTTAGTTGCCAGGATGGTTGTCTACAACTTCATTTGGAAAGTTTTAAAAGAAAATGCAAATAGTAGGTAAAGGGCAGAGACACATTTCTGGAAATATATTTGGCACAGATTTTAGACATTCCTTTGTCATTTGTTAATCAGCAAGAAGAATTCCCACTCAACTATATAAAGTACGGCAGTACCACTTTCTCTGTTTACAGGTGACTAAAAAATCACAACCTGCTGCATTCACCTCTGGATAGCATGTATAACTGTCCATGCAATTGTCTGTGCTTCAGAATCAGTACAGGGCAGGTATGTGAGGAATCTGAGCTTTTTCTCATCTCCTTCCAAAACTACAAATCAGGTCCAAAAGGATGATTTCGCTTACTTTAAAAGAGGGGATTTTTTTTTCTTTTTTTTTCTGCACACTAGGGCTTCAGAATCAAAATTATACACCTGAAATGCCAGAAAAATAATACGGCCGGAAGACTGAGAAGCTCTTTTCATCTGTAACCAGACTCACCACACAGCAGCCTGTAGTACTTAAAATCCTCTTTAACTAACTGCATGTCAAGACTTGCCTGTTTCGGACACTGTTAAGACGGCCAGCCCCCATATTTTACATACCCTCCTAATTGCATTCATATGTTCGGTTTCATATTTGACCTCTGTTGAAGCAGGGAGCCAAGGAAAGCAGTCCTTTTCTGAGCTCTGATGCAGGAATGGAGCTGAAGGGTATCACAGACTCATAAAATGGCTTAGGTTGGAGAAGACCGTAAAGACCATCTAGTCTCAACCCCCTGCTATGGGAAGAGCTGCCATCCTCCAGGTCAGGCTGCCCAGGGCTCTGTCCAGACTGGCCTTGAATACCCTCAGAGATGGGGCATCCACAACTTCTCTCAGAAACCTGTTCCACTGCCTCACAACCCTCTGAGTAAAAAAAAAAATAAATAATTCTTACTAACATCTAACTTAAATTTCCCTTCTTTTAGTTTAAAGCCATTTTCCCTTTTCCTGTCACTATGAGACCATGTAAAAAGTTGGTCCCATTCCTGCTTGTAAGCTCCCTTCAAGTACTGGAAGGTTTCAGTGAGGTTCCCCTGGAGCCTTTTCTTCTCCAAGCTGAACAAGCCCAACTCCCTCAATCTTTTCTCATAGGAGAGGTGCTTCAGCCCTTTGATCATCTTTGGCCATCCTCTGGATCTGCTCACATCCTTCTGTGCTGGGGGCCCCAGGCCTAGACATAGTAGTCCAGATGGGGCCTTAAAAGGGCAGAGCAGAGCAGGACATCCCTCTCCCTGCTGCCTCCCCCTTTTTTGATGCAGACCAGGATACACTGCTGGTTCACGTGTGTTTTTTTGTCCATCAGGACTCCTAAGTCCTTCTCCACAGAACTGTTCTCAAAGAGTCTACTCCTAGTCTGAACTTGTATCTGGGATTGCCTCAATCCAAGTGCACTTGGCCTTGTTAAACCTCATTAGATTCCCATGTGCCCACTTTTCGAGCATGTCCAGTTCCCTCTGGATGGCATCCCTCCCTTCTGTTGCATCAATTGCAACACTTAGCTTGGTATCGTCAGCAAACTTGCTGAGGGTACATTCAATCCCACTGTCTATGTCATTGATAAAGATGCTGAAGACAAGCCCCAAGATGGACCCCTGGGGGACACAATTTGTGACCAGTTTTCCCTTGGACATAGAGCCGTAGACAATGACCCTCTGGCTACAACCATCCAATCAGTTCTTTGTCCACCTAATTGCCCAGCCTTCAAATCAGTCTCTCTCCAATTTAGAGATAAGGATGTGGTGCGGGACCATGTCAAAGACCTTGCACAAATCAAGGTAGATGAAATCAGTTGCCCTTCCTTTGTCCACTGATGGTGTCACTCCGTCATAGAAAAGCACCAGACTGGTGAGGCACAATTTGCCCTTGGTGAAGCCACGCTGTCTGTCTCAGATCAAACCATGTGATCTCACATGTGCCTTAACATCTTTTCTAGGAGGATCCATTCCATGATCTTCCCAGGCAAGGTGGTGAGGCTCACCAGTCTGTAGTTCCCCAGGTTCTCTTTCTTCTCTTTTTTGAATGTGGGAGTGATGTTTCCCTTTCTCCAGTCACCAGGGACTTCTCCTGGCAACCACATCAACCAGTTATTTCAGAACCCTGGGATGTGTTATCTGGCCCCATAGACTTGCACATATTCCACCTCATGAGGAGGTCTCAGACTTGATCTGCTCTTATACTGGGAGGGATTTTGCTTCCCTGACCCCTACTTAGAAGTTCAGGGACACAAGAGGCATGAGAAGCCTGACAGATCATGAAGACTGAGGTGAATAGCTTGTTAAGTACTTCAGCCTTCTCCATGTCCATGGAGGCCAGCTCTTCCTTTTCAATGATCAGGGGGAATACACTCTCCTTTGCCTTTCTCGTCTATCTCTCTAAAGAATCCCTTCTTGTTATTTTTCATATCCTCTTACCAAGTTCATTTCCATCTGCACCTTGGATTTCCTTACTCCATTTCTGAACATCTGGACAGCATCTCTAGATTCTTCTCAGGCCACCCATCCCCACTTCCACTGTTTTTTCTTTTCCTTTTTTTTTCCCTTTTTTTTTAATTTTTATTTTTTCCCTCATTCTGACCAGCAAGTCCTTGCTCAGCCATGCTGGTTTCCTGCCTCGTCTGTCTCATTTCTTATTCTGGGGGATGGAGAGCTCTTGTGCTCTCAGAAAAGCATCCTTAAAGTGCTGCCAGTTTGGTCCTATTACTTTGTCTCTAAGGACAGTTTCCAAGGGGATCTCATCTAACACTTCCTTTAACAGCCTGAAGGTGACTCTTCTGAAGTTCAGGGTCCTGACTCCACTCTTTACCAGGCTTACATTCCCCAAGGTCATGAACTCAACCAGGGCATGATTGCTATAGTCCAGGCTGCCTCCAGTCTTAACCTCTTTTACAATCTCTTCCATGTTGGTAAGCACCAGATCCAGCAATGCTCCACCTCTTGTTGGTTTGTCCATTACCTAAATCAGAAAGTTATCGTCAGTGGACTCCAGGAGTCTCCTGGGTCACTTGCAGCTCACAATGTTGTTTTCCCAGCTGATATCCGAATGGTTGAAATCTCCCATCCAGCACAATGCCTCTTGCAGCTGAAGCAAGAAGGCCTTGTCAACAGCTTCCCTTGATGAGGCAGCTTGGAGTAGACCCTGACCACCAGATGCCCTTTACTGGTCCTGTCCCTAATCTTAACCCACAGGCTCTTAACCTGTTCCTGACTGTTTCTCAGGGGCAGCTCTTTGCAGACTACCCACTTCTTAACAAGAAGAGGGCAATTCCCCCACTTCTTCTACTTTGCCTATCCCTTCTAAAAAGTTTACAGCCTTCAATCATGGTGTTCTTGTGAGTCATCCCACCATGTTTCCGTGATAGCAATAAGATCATAGTTTTCCAATTGCATCATGGTTTCCAATTCCTCCTGCTTACTTCCCATGCTGTGTGCATTGGTACAGAGGCACTTCAGCTGAAAATGCCAAAAGTCATATCATTGTCTGTCTTGGACCCTTTATAGATACATATATAAAACCAGATAAATATGAATATTTGGAGCTAAATGCGTGTGCTGCAAGAGCATGTTATTGATGAGAAAAAAGTCTGAAGGCACAGTGACTCCTAGCTCATGGCCAGCAGACCGTTGCTGTTGTTTTGGGGAAGAAAATGGGAAAAGCAGAGCCAGCCAAGGAGCAGACAGCCTACACAGAGATGGATTTCGCTCCTGGCCCTTTCTCAGGCAAGGCGAGAGCTTTTCCTGAGTGCAACCCACAAGACTGGATCCACAGCTCTTCGCCTTGCAGCACTTCAAGACTTCCAGGTTGGAGACAATACGTCTGGAAATCTGGGGTGAGCTGCACCTCCTGTGTGTTTTACTTGGACAGTAGGGTGTAAGTACCACGCTGCTGTGCTCTTATTTAGCTCTGTTATTACAGCGCTGTTTGTGAAGCAGGAAGAGTAATCCTCATGTAAAAATAATAGTATTGCAGAGCTAGACAGCAGATGGTGTTATTAAATACCTGGGCAAAGTCTAAGGTCATAACGCTCTAACAATTAAAAAGATCTATTGTCTATCACTTAATAGGTAACCTCCTAGCGCAGGATGTTTGCAAAGCTGAGCAGAGAGGCGAGTAGTGTCTTGTCCAAGCCCAGATAGCTCTTCCAGTTAAGCAAATACTTGGCAACTATTTTCTTGTCTAAATTTGGTGCTACCACCACATCAGGTAGATACAATACAATCCCTTATCATTTCCTAAATGATCCCTTCTCTAATCAACTCCATTAGGTTTATAAATAGACTGCAGCTGCTTGAGGACTGGTGATAGTTGCCTGACATCCAGGTTCACTTATAAGACCATGGAGAGGCAACTTATTGGATGATGTAAATGGACATAAGCTTGCTGCCAGGCACATCTCCCACCAGCTGCAGGAGATACTGGTGTGTGAGGTGTGCCTGCCAGCAGCCGTGGCTTTCCACAAGCACCTGCAGCTATGGGCCTCTCTCCCTGGTGAAACCTTCTTGTCTGAGTTGGTGAAGTTGAAGCCGAGCCTCAGTAATATGTGGCAAGTCTCTTCCTGCTGCATAACATTTTCAATCAGAACTCTGAGGATTAATTTTATATTGCAGAGATTGCACTTTCTGCATTTTTTCCTTGGTGTTTGCCTGGCATCTTGTGACCCGTACCTCTCAGTTGAACCTCTCAGCTGAATGCTGGCATCCAGGGATGCAGCTTGCCTTTTCTTCTGCTATGAGCTTGTTTTACACACAAAGCAAGACTTTCTGCATCGTTTTCAGAGATGTGAACCCAAAATCATCTCTTCTGGGACTACAAGCAAAATAAGGAGGCTAACAGTCACTCCTTGGGGTAGGTTTTGGATTTAGTTTAATGACTATAATAGTGGCAAATGCCTTGGCAGCAGAAATAGACTGATATGGAGAACAATAGGGAACCTGTGACTTGGTACATTTGTCTCACAGAGGGCAGACAGGAGACAGGGAGTTAAGCAGAGTCCTGTGGCTGCTAATAGCTTCACACAGTACTTTTCCTCCGTGGTAATCACTCTCCTGCTAGGATCCACGAACTTGAGAACAAAGTACATTTTATTATTTACAAGGGTTAGATGACAAATACAAACAGATGGTGCAAAGATGACTCCTAATGCATAGTGATCAAGGAGTTTAATATTCATGGGTAAAGGCCTGGAAGATTAAGTAAACAGATTCAGATATGCAGGGGAAAGTATCTCATAACAATGCATAAAGTCAGCGTGGCCTTTTGTGCCCCGTTACCATTTGGATCAACACAATTAACATAAAGGGAAAGACTGGCTGAACTTTCCAGTTTCCCTAAAGTGCTCAAATCAGGGATTTCTGAGAGGAAACCCTAGCAAGGAGTTTTGGCAAGATGGAGAAAAACCCTTCTCTTTTGTTATTGAACTTTCTGTTCCTGCTCCAATGCCCCTTCTGCAAAACAGGTTGCAACAGCTGAGCGTGCTGCAGCCTGCTGCTGTGGCTGCCCTTACGTAAAGCATTCTCACCTGGGTGACACAGGGCTTTTTGCTGCGACCGGTCAGATGAGTGAGCAAGGGTAACTCCCATGAGCAAGGGTTGTGGCATTAGGAGCCTAACCATGCTGCTCTGCTGTTAATGACACTTCTAATGGCAAAAGCTGGGATCTCGTTGGTTTTGCTTTCACATGTAGTCATCTTGCAGAGAGGATTTCAACACTGATGAATATTGCCAGTCAGGTCCTTGGTATGAATCATCCTGTCCTTCCAGATGACTTTTTCTTTCTGCTGTTTACATCAGCCGCAGAGAATTTTGATGCTTTCTTGTGTATGTGTGCAAAGGAATGTTTCATTTGAGAAGATATTTCCAAACTCTCTGAAGTCATCCCTCTGTATCATTCCTTTTGTTGTTGCTGTTCTCGCTTTGAGCGTGGGCAGTTAGCGAGTTGTTTCTTAGGAGTTACTGACTGAGCACTGAACAAAGGGCAAAAAAGAAAGGCAGGGAGAAGGGTTCTTGAAAGAATCCTGCTGGACTGTGCCAAGAAGTTTGCTCTGCAGCATAGATCAGCCTGCTATTTTCTTTGTCTACCTCAGGTTGTCGGATGAACAAGGGATTTGGGGATTGGTGTGCTCAGTCCTGGAAAGATGTACATTTGAGCAGGCCAGCAGCCCCTGCCTTCTTTTATACAAGGCCCTCATCACTGCAGTAGTGTCAGGACACTGTGGCCTATGGACAAATGGGAGAAGCTAGGGAGGGTTGAGTTAGAGCTGGGGATGGCTTAAAACCCAAGCCACAACATTCAAACGGTGGTGGAGAGCTGCCCAGAAGCCACAGTGCAGTGTCGGGAGCTGAGCACCTCCACCTTTGGTATCTGCCCAGAAAATGGTCTGGCTCCATGGATGTATTCATGGGAATAGCTGTATAAGCTGGAATACAGTCAAAGATACATGGCAGAGAAACCTGCCCTGTGAATAAAGCCTTTGTTAAGAGGGATTCCATCTGTACATGATTTCATCAGCTGCATGAAATGTGCAGGACATTTATATGGTGAATTAGGCACAGCTCCTGTTTTGAGAGAGAAAATGCTTCTGTGTGCTTTTCCACAAAAGTCTGTTGCTACACAAGGAGGGGAAACCTGCAATGCCATTACTGTTCTCACAGGACAGGACAAGCATTGGGACTGTGCTAACATGATTATAAAAATAATGTGCATTTAAAAAGCATCAAATGCACAAAAAGATTGGCATCGCCGTTTTCTTTGCCTTCTCTCCCTTAAATGTGGAGATGCTTAAAACAGTGTAAATAACATTCAAGACAGCTAAAGAGCAGTCCACAGTGCTGAAACACTTCTGCTGTCCAAAGCAGCTCCATGCCAGCTATTTCATTTACCATATGTTTGGTGTGGTTTTGGCAGAGTCAACATGAGGATTTTTGGGCAGGCCTGCGAAACAGTTTTTCCCTTCCTCCACCCAAACGTGACCCAGTCCTGTCTGCCATGATCACGCCATTGCACAGGGTCAGCCTGGCTGTTTTGGGCAGAATTAGTCAGAGGGGCCTCTGGAAAGATGCCCAAGGAAGGCTGATTCATTTTCCATATGAGTGGTTGCATTAAGGAGCAGGAAGGAGAAGGAAGACGCAGTGTTTGGGATGGAGATGCTGGGTGATGCTGAAGGACCACACGGGGATTATAGGGTTCCTTCTCCAGGTCCAAGGCAGGTGTGGTTGGGATGCACTGGCTGTGGGGCAAGCTGCTAGCCCCATGGCACTGTTTTCAGCCATCCTGCAGGAACTGCCAGAGGCTGTGAATCAGTGACTGGAAACGTGGAGCTTTGCTCCTGGGGTTGTCTGGTTTCAGATATGGAGAACCTGGGCTCCAAGCAGCCCAGTCCAGCAGAGAACTGCCTGATCTGTGAGCAGACTCTCCAGGGTGGGGCTTATTTTTCCTTAAAAATGAGTGGGATGCAGTGGCCAGATGCACAGTCTAGCTGGTGCTATGGGTTTGGGACTTGTCTAGCCAAACAAGGGAAGAAGAAAAGGGAATTTAAACACACCTCTCTGCCCTTTTCTAAGCATGTGCTGAAAGGTGTGAAGGTACAGCTGCGTCATTCCTTCCTGCTGTGTGCTCCGAGCATGCATTCTCAGCAGTAGTTCACAGAAGTGAACCTTGTTCCCCAAGCAGAGGAGCTTTGCCACAGGGTGCTGGGGTATCTGATTAGTAGACTTGTTCACCTCAGGGAGCAGCTTTGCCAGGTGAGCCCTCCAAGCAAAGAGCTATAACCCCTGGTTAGCACTGAGCCTGCGATCCCTCCCTCGCTTTCTGCTGGATTAATTGCTAGAAAGGTTGTGCAGCTGCATGGCAGCCCAGCACCCCATCTGGTTGGCCATACCTCTGCATTTCTGTTCTCTGAAACAGTGTTTCTGACCTGATTCTAGGGGCACGAGCCCCTCTTCCCAGAGTTGCCTTTAATCCAGGCTGGCTGCATGCTGCCTGCTGTCAGCGGCCCTTTTGTGCCTCCACGAGTGTTTGCTGGTGCAGGGCTGAGTGACTCAGCCTGCGCCCCTGCCCTGAGCACTGGAGAGCTGGGAGGGGCTGCAGAGTGCCTGGCTGCAGATCTCATCCTTCCCTTTTCTCATTTCAGCAAAACCGTTGCAGATTTCACGGAGCTTTCCATCACAGGCAAACAAAGAGGAAATTGATTCAGAGCGAGAGCATTAACATCACCAAATAGTAAAGGCATTGCCTAATGCTATCAAGCAAGCTTCCTCTACTGCAGAAGCAGAGGTGGGCAGAGTGAAGCTAAGGAAGTAAGGGGACAGTGGCTGGGTGAGGGCAAGGATCCTCAGCAAAGAAAACCCAGAGGATAAAAGGCAAAAAGAACAAAAGGACAGGTGTTGGGGAAATACGACTGAGCAGATGCAGTACTTATCTGCTTTTGCATCAAATAAAATTCCTATGTGTAAACAAAAAGCAATGAGTAACATCAAGTGAAGGGCCAACATGTGGGAAGGAGTTGTGCTGGTGTAATAAAAGGGCCGGTTTTAAACCATTTTGGTTAGAGCCCTGCACATGTGAGCTGCTGATGGAAGAAAAAGGCCTGGCTTTATGGCTTCCAAGGAAGGATGGCAAACACTGGGGCTTCCCAGTGCAAAGTGCTGATCCGTACGATAGTAAACTTCCATTTGTTCAAACATCGGTGACGAGTCAGCACTGTACTGGCTGCCTTTATGTAGGATAAGGCAAGGTCTGTCTTCCAACAGGTGGTTTAATGCCAGCAAAACAAGAACAACAACAAAACATCTAGAGCCAGAATAAGCACACGTACATCATTTTGGCTCTTAGTAGAAATGTAACTGGGAATTCACAAATAATCTCAATTAGTCTTGTCCTGGGTACTGCCACTGTCTAATTTTCACTTACATCAAGACTATTTTAGTCTAATTGGCTATTAAAATATATGTCAACGTGAAAGTTTCTAGCTCTTCTGCAGCAGTGTAACTCATTTTCCAGAGCAATGCAAATGCCAAGAGGAATGGTTCCCACCAGCCTCGGAGCGCTGACACACTCACTCAGCAAGCACCTGCCCTGGCCTCAGGTACCTTCCAGCCTCCCACGGGTTTGTTACTGCAAGGGGTGTGCTCACCTGTCTGCTCACCTACCGTCATCTGGGGTTTAAACTAGAGCACCTGACCCAGTATTTCAGATGACAGTGCGGTGACTCAGAGACATCTTAGCATGATGGAAGGAGCTCCTGCCCCAGCACCTGCCCTGCCACACTGCTGGGACACACGCACCCTTTGTATCACACTGCTGCTGCAGGGCAGCTGGACCTGTGTGGGGTACCTCTGCCACTAAGCCTTCACCAGTGTCTCTGCACATATTGTCTCATCCCCCTTAGAGTTACCCACACTGTGACCAACAGACCCAAGCATCCTCTGAATTGTCCTTCTGGGGCAAAAGGAGTATGGATATCCACATTTTATACCACTGGCTTGGTGCAAAGGAGCATGTAGATAGGGAGACATGAGCCCCACACGTCCTGCAGCTTCTTGAGGTTTTGCTTGCTCTTTCTCTCTGGCAGGCACATCAGACTGGCCTTTGATCACCAGAGATCAAGAGTATTTCCACCCATACAAGGTAAGTCTGTTGGTTGCACAGACAGCTCAGAGGAAATGGAGCTCCTGAGAAGACCTGATTTGGGGTGCATCAGTACGAGCATTTCAAGTGTTAGAGGACTGTCTGGATTTTAAATGTCTTTCATGCAGCACACTGCTCCAAAAAACTCTCTACCTTAGGCTAGTCCTCAGGCTTGAATATTAATGAAGGCATTTCCCTACATGAGCAACATGTACTATCTCATGTCTTATGCCTGCCTCGAATTTAAAGTGTGCAAGTGCAAGTAAGTCTCATGTCAGGTCACCTGCAACTACAGATAACCGCAGATAAGTGCTATGGGTAATGCTGCTCTGCTGGGATGAGCTCAGAAGTGGTTTCCAGCACTTCTTTCCCTTAAGCAATGAGCTGATCTGGGCTGAAGGCTGTTGCCCTCCTAAGCTACAAGACTGAAGGCTGGCCTGCCACGTGTGCTGGTACCTTTGCAATGCCCCTAGAGGTATAGTTATCCAGGACCTGCCATGGCAGTGGGGCTGAGATTGTGTTGGACACTACCAAAACTGTGACTGCTGCAACCAGCCTATGTCTCTGAGGATGCAAAGTGTGACTGCTTGAACAAACAGCAGTGGGGCTGCTCATCTCACTCTTTCCACACTGATGGCTTATTTTTGACCATGAGAATAGAGTTTCCCAAAAGAACTGAATTGTCACATGCAACAGGATATGAAATACAAGTTGCAGATTTCTGCAGTAGCTGCTTTTTCCCAAATCTCTACCACTACCATATCTCAAATCCTTTGAAAGGACATGTTTAGTGTCACTGCATTGCTCTGGATATCTGTCATATGTGGGGCAGAAAGCAGCACAAGATGGGACAGTGAGTGTTAGCCGGTGTCTGTGAGCAGATCTGCCTCTTATTCCTTAAATGCTGGTGATGCGGTGCTCTCCCTCTCAAAGCCCCTCTTACAAACCTCTCCATCACTTTCTGCATTTCTGCTCTTTGCAGGCACTTTCATCATTAGCAAGCCTCTGCTGTCCGTGGCTGTGTCTGCACTGTGAACTGTCTTTCAGAGATGTGTAAGGAAACCTGAGGCTTCTTGAAAGCATTCTTGCCCTTTCCTATCCCTGTGAAGTTGGTTATCAGTTCTACAAATTCTTACATACAGAAAATGCACTTGCCTGCAGCAGAGGAGGTAAGAAAACACTAATGGTGAGCAAACTGACCTGAGGGGGAACATTTCCAGTTCTTCTGTGGTGTTTTCCCTGCTCATTAAAGCCCCTCCTTGGGCCTAGGGCTGTATTTGATGGCAGATGATAACGACTCCAGAAGTGTGTCCCATTGCCTGGAGGCTGCTGCTGTGGGATCCTCTCTGCACAGCACAAGCAATATCCCAGCTTCCAATAAGGAAGAGGCCAGCCTTGTGTTTCAGCATGATTCATCTCTGGTGGAGAAACCAGGCTTCCTTCTGCTAAGCTCCCCCTCTGTGGCCTTTTCCGTAGTTTTGCACGAGCTCAAAGGCATTGCAACAAAAGCACTGGGGAGAAGTTGCAGTGTGGATTTGTCATATACCAAAACCCACATTTCTCCTGTATCTCTCCAGCTTCTCAGGAAACTGGTATCCTGGAAAGAAACCAAGTTGAACATAATCTTATCTGTCAGCCTATTTATTTTAAACCCAAACAGGTTCCTTGATCCTCTCCAACTGAAAACACCCCTTGGGATGGTAGCAGCTGGTGTGGGCACAGGAGATCAGTGCTTTTCTGGCTAGAGCCGCCTTTGGTGATGCCATCTCCCCATGCAGAGGACAGAACGGATGCTGCTGTGCTGCTGCCTGCATCGGTTGGACTTTGGTTGGCAGGGCATTGTAAAATGACTCAATGGGGATCAGAAAGTGGTAGGATCAAACAAAAATCGCTTTGAAGCTGCTGTCAGTTGGCAAAAGAATAATTTAAAATTAAACCAGTTCTGAAACTATCTACCACAAGCGGTTACAAGCCTCGGTGTTGTAAAACTGGGCTGTTTCCTCTTTTCCTCACAACGATGATGTCCTTGATTCCTCCTTAGGCTTCTTTGGCAATTCTTGCACAGTAATAAAAAGGCATGACACAGCATATGTTTTGCGGCTCACCTTGCCAAACAAAATTACAACGTTAGTATAGCTTCTTCGCCTTTGCATAATTAACTCTACAAAGGAGATAGAGAGAGGGTAAGCATCTGTGCCAAGACAAAAGCAAAAACAAGAAGTACGGAAGTCTGTTTTAAAGTCATCTCTGTTCAAAGCAATTCTTTTAAAAATGACTTATCTTGAAACTGTTGCAGACAATTAGGGAAAGTCATACAGTTTCTAAATGTCTGTTATGTTTTACGTCTGCAGCTACATTGCTAAGATTCAAAAAAAAAGAAGTCATTGCCTCTTTGAGAGCTCATGAAAGTTGTACAGGAGCACATCTTCTGTGCAACATGTGCTGGGGCCGAGAGGAAACAGTCTGCCCAGGAGTCACTGCCCACTCTTCAGGCTCAGCTGGCATCATTCTCATGTTTAATAGTGTTCAGGACAGTCTCTCTGTTGAACTGAACTACACAGCTGCCACAAGGGGAACTTGGTGCAGGTGGAGAGGTAAGTGGGGTGAGAAGTGGGCCAGGTTCTGCCATCTATCCCACTGCCTTACTGTCATCCTTGTGTCTTGAAAGCACAGCACTTGGGCATTCCAAGCAAAGGAAGGGATCTCCGGATACACAGGATGATGAAAGGGAAAAAGGGAAACCCTTCACTCTATGGATCCACCAACCCTGTTTCAGAAAAAAGGCACAAAGCTACCACAAGAAGCCCACTGTGCTTTTACCTAAACTAGTGTTAATAGTTGAATTAGGATTCAAGCAGCCTGAATAGTTCTAATATAGACCGTTAAAGAGCAAATCCTTTTTTGCACTAATGCCAAAGGCAAGACTCCCAGCAAAAAGTCTGGCCCCAAGTTTCTGGCAAGTCCCCAGGCAATCCAACTAAGAAAAGAAGAAAAACAAAACAAAAACAAAAACAAACAAACAAAAACAAAACAAACAAACAAAAAAAAAAAAGAAGAAAAAAGAGGCAAAATAAAAGGAAAAAGGGAAAATAGAAAAGAAAGAGATGAGGAACATTTTACAACCAGCTGTGGCAGCTGGCAGCAGGTCATCCAGGTAGAGCAGGGATCCTGCATGTCTGCTCAGTCTCCCTTACTTTTAGGCAGCCTCCAGACATGAAACCTTGTCATGCTCTGCTATCACATCCAGTGCAATGCCCCACTTGCACAGTGTTGTTCAGTCACAAAGATGTTGTCTGTCTGCTCAAAGTTCTCACAGAGACCTTTGCACAATGTCACCGCAGTCAAAACTTGTTTATTAAATGCTCATTTAGCAGAAATGAGGTCACATCACTTAATGGCTATTAAGATGTTAATGCATTAAACACACTAAAATATTGCCTGTTTATCCTAACCCTCATTTATCTAAATCACCTTTGCATTCATTGTGATGAGTGAGATTTGACTGTGTCTGCTAATTATGTAAGAGTTGAGCTAGCACCAGTTGGTCTTACTATTGCACCCAAGCACCTTGGTAACAAACATCACCATACACAATAAACTGGAGCTATTCCTAGATAACGATGACAAGAGAAATCCCCACATACAGTAGAAAAAAGTAAGTCAATGCCCGAAGAACAGCAAGAGGAAGTCTCTGCCTGGAAGGAACCATGACTGAAGCTGTGAAGTGTCATCCAAAATCATTGATCCCTATTGGTAAGCCAACCTATATCAATAGCACCATTCTGTGGCACAAACAATCCCACAAATCCCATGTAACGTGGAGTGAGAAACACCTTCATTTGTGTGCCACTGCCCCATGGTCCCCACACCCTTGTCTGTGGACAAGTCTGAGGGAACATCTCCATGGCCCAAGCCCAAGCCCTGGTGCAGTAAGTCGGGGTGCCTCCAGGCATCAGCATCCCTCTCAGGGTGGGCACCATTCATTTTATGGTGGTGCATGCTCAGCAGCCATAGTGCTGAACTCTGCTGCAGGGCTGAGCCCAGCTCTTTCTGCCTACGGAGATGAATGCACCGTTGGCTCCGAGCTGCAACTAATAGATTAAAGCTCCCAATAAATCAAGAGTTTTGCAAAAGCCTGAATGACTGATTTCACAAGGTGATTAGAATTATCAAGGGAAAACATTTCAAGTGCTCAATAATTTACACTAACCACCTGTACTTTTAAAATAACTTTCCCCATTCCCCTCCCTTAACTTTAAGGGATTCTTGCCATGTTCTTCAAGCCATTTCCTTCCTTCCCTTCAGCTCTGATTGCTGCGGAACACTCTTAATAAAGAATGTACCATATCACTGGAGATTGTTCTGGGGATGAAAAATGCAATGTGATTTATTATAACATGGCTTATGCAGGCAGCTGATCTTAGCCTGCACTCTGCATCCTTCCAAAATGAAAACAATTTGCAATGTAATATTGTGAAATTGGGTTTATATTCCAGTTTGTATTTTATGATTCTTATCCTTAAGAAAGCGTTTTCAAATGCATTTTCTGTTAGTTAGATTTTTCCATGCCTGCTTTTCGCTTTGAACAGTGCTAGCAAAGTCATGCCATGGTTTGAAAGGCTTTATGCGTAAATTTGGAACTCGTATCACACCCTACTGAGCAGTGGGGACTGTTCATTTATTTGTTTATTAAGTAGGAGTTATTTTCTCTCCAGCATGCTATAAAGTCAGCTCTTTGACCTCATTCCTCAACGTGGACAAGAACTGAATTCCTGGAATAAAGAAAAAAATTGAGAAAATGCACTCCCATTTTGACAAAAATAACTGAAGAGATCCTTCCAACTCAAAAAAGCATTCAGGAAAAAATGTGGGACATACATATCCTTCACAGGTTGTCAACCTTCCATTGGAAGCAGAAGATCCGTAACAATTCATGCCACAGAGGTTTGCTGCCAGGTGGCGGAGGACAAAGTTCACTCTGGAGTGGTTTGCTGGCGGGGCAGCTGAGCAGTGGGTGGAAGTGCCAGGAGGGGAGGCAAAGAGAAGATGGAAGGCAGAGAACTGAGGTGTGCAGAGGTGGCTGGGAGGAAACATCACAGCCCCATCTCTGAGAAGGGCCAGGATGATGGCTTAGGAAAATGCAGGCACAAAGGGCAGTTGGGCAGTGGTACAACTAAGTGTTTAGTTGTTAAGAGTCCCGAAGGACTTTTTATGCAGGAATTTCCCTAACTGCATTTTAAGTCTGGTTATACATTGACAAGAAAAATGACCCATGGTGAGGTGTCCGCACAGCCTGCTCTTTCACTTTGATAGCCCCAGGCTTCTGTGCCATGAGAAGCAGTGGGTTAACATGCCACCTGCACCCTGTCTGTGCCACTCAGGACAGATCTCAGGACTGCCTGAGTTTATTTTTATTTTCTAATATTTCAACTAAAGAAAATATCCATTAGCTGATCTATGATAGAAAAAGTAAAAGAAGTATCCGTGCACGTGCTCTACACAAATAACTTACTTGAGAAACCCCTCATACACCTCTGCTTTATTGATTTATTTTCCAATGGTGGTTTTATGGTGTTGTGATGAAGCAAAAGGTTTGACACAAAGAGGTATTTACCCAGGTACTGGTTTCCAATAGGTCAGCTTGTTAAAACATATTGGAATAGAAATGAAGAGGGAAGGGGCTAGGAAGGGAAGAAGGCAGGAAAAGCTGGACAGTTCAGGGCGCAAAGAAAACAGCCACATTGCCGTTAGACAAAGAAATAGCATGCAAATAGTGGGGTGAAGACCCACTTCGCATAGGGATTCCCATTCATGATTATATGGTAGATAAAAGTTCAGTGAAACAGAAGCACACCAGCTACATTCACTTGGAGACTGTTGGCACCATGTTGTTGACTGCAGCTTCTCTTGCAGATGCAAACATCTTTGCTGCTGCGACACAACCTGGGGTGTCCTTCCAGCTCCTACAAAAGTGCCAAGAGCATGACAACTGGGGTCCAACATACTGCTTTTGGTCAGCTCTCACCAAAGCCAACAGGAGCTTTGAGTCAGGCCACAGCTAGATGCAGGGCTTTGAGCAAGCAGGTCTTTTCAGATGGGCAACAGAAAGCCTATCAGTTACAACATGTTTTTGCCTGAGGTGAATTACTTTTAATAGGTATTTTGTTTTAGGAAGCTTGAAATGATGAAGTAGTGCTGCTACTTTTGATTTTACTTCAGGAAAGATGAACTGTACTTTAAGGGGATTCTCTGCTTGGCAGCAGTGTAACTTCTTTTAACCCAAATACCGTTTGGTTAACTTAAGTCTGCCAGTTGCCTAAGCCTCTAGGTATGTTCTTAAAAAATAAATAATTACCCATCCACGTCCTCATGGGGATGTCTCTCAGATCTTCCCGCAGCTTTCTTCACAGCTTGTTTGGAGCATTAAAAGTCTGACCCAAATTCCAAGAGCACCGTTTGGAGAGTTCTCCAGCAGATGCCGTGGATGCTCAGTTAGATTATGACACTACCACAGCAGGCCGTAAATTTGTTTTTCTTCTTTTCTTCTTTTCTTTTGGAATGATTCAAAGAGGAATCATTGTATGTCATATCAAACTTCAACTTCAAGATAAAGAGATCAGACTGTCTACAAGAATACCAGCTATTGTTATATCACCATAGTTCTTCTGTAACATTTTCTTCTCATGAGGTGATATCAAGTACATAGAGAGGAGTAAGTTATAAAGCTGTACTAATGTGATTGTTTGGGATGTTAAAACAAAGTTGACAATTCCTTTATAAACCATCCCAGCTTCTGGGCAAACATCCCTGGAAGCTTCAGGAGTTCTCTTTGGTCCTGGCTGCCCCATAAAGAAACATCATTTATGCTGAATTAATTAGCTGCCACTTAACCCTGGCGCCAAGAGTTGATGTCATGAAGCAAAACAAAATGGAGCTAATGAAATCAATAACACCATTAAAATAACTCTCAGCAGAGTTACTGACTGCCGTGCTGACTGTGCTCATGGACCAATCGCTTAGCACGTAAAGGGACTTCTGCAAGAACATGTTCAAGCTATGAATGGCAGCCAAAAGCCAACTTGACATCAGACTGCTCAGGTGGGCTTTTCCTGGACTGCACAAGGAGATTGCATGGGCACAGCCCTGGCCTGGAGGAGTCAGATTGGATTGGATGGATGGCAATAAGGAGTAGAGGGCAAGGAGCTCCTAAAGCAAATTTCTAAGTGGGAGTTTTAAGCAGGAAGATACATTTAGGTAGAGCTTTTCTACTATTAATTCAGCTAGAGTAAGATATTACCAGGAACAATGCACACCACGCACAGGAAGAAGCTGACTGGGAAAGATTAATCTGGCCCTGAAGGCCTAGAGTGTCTTGGTTGGCTGCTGAGAAGCTGAAGCCCTGTTCAACAGCACTTAAAGAACATGGAACATGGTGAGCTCTGGCTCAGTGAGGGTTTCTTGATGCTGTGTTTGCAGGCCTGAACCCCCATCATTGGAAACACACTGTAATGTCAGTTCGTAATTGAATGAAAGATCTAACTGCATGCTTCTTACACAGAATTTCCAAATGTTTGCAAAGTCTAAGCCCCCTCGTTGTGCAAAGATATAATAGACACCATCAGAAAGTCTTAAGACAGACAAACAGCAATGGTAAGTCTTGCACTGCTGAAGTTTTACACAAATAACAATGTTTCCATCGCTGTCAGCCAACCGTCCTGAGTTTAATGACAAGTTCATAGAAGGGGGCAGATAATTGTGAGCGTTAATATTAGTTTTTCCTGACACAACTAAGTGCTAAATATGTGGGGGCGTATCTGTTTAGCTCTGTGCTGGTGCTCTTTCTGTGCTCTTCCCTGAGCTGACCGCAGCTGTCATCTCTTTAACTTAGCTTCTAGTGACTAGATGCTCTGCAGTATTCGATTCTGACTTATACAGGAAACTTGGGTCTGCGGGCAAAGGTGAAAGGCAGCTGGGGTGAGAGTGACCTTCAAGTCTGGCAAATCTGAGGCAGAAAGGACATTTGAAGAGTTAATGGTGCTC